TTAATGAAGATCGAATTTTGATGGAGACAAATATTTGAAATTTTGATCATTCATAAACCTTCCCTGGGGTCACTTGAGGTCCCACAAAAAATTTGCGCCCGATCGGTTCAGCCGTTTTGACTTTTATTGGATACAAACAAACAGAAAAACAAACAGACAAGCCAAATTTATATATAGATAAAAATATTTATTTATCATGTTTAATGTCTATGACAAACGTATACAAATATATTTCAACTGTTCTTGAGTAGATAATGCATGGACGGATATAGAGTAAATGTCACAATATGTACAGCTACGGTACAGTTCTGTACATGTCTCTTTGTTGTACAACGGAACTGAGTCGTTGCCGCAATCTCAAATTGTCTAATCCCTATATCTTTGTAACTTGATGGTGTAACCCTTAGATATTTCAAACTTGGATTATTTTATGAACAGAAATTATAGTTTGAAATATCTACGACATTGGGTAGCAAAGATATTGGGATTAGAAAATTAGATTTTGTGGCAATTCCTCTCAATTCCTTTGTAAACTGTGCTACTGGGAAGGATTTTTTACATAAAATTGAAAATTTCAGAAGTTGTCAAAATTGACTTTTAACTTTAGATAAAACCTTGTATGTTGAATTACTTTCATAATAATACAGAGCTGAAGTTTTAATATCATATTTGGAGTAAAGCCGGAATTGGCTACTTGTACTGCACTGGATTTCACTGTTTAAAAATATAAGTTCCAAGACTCAAGGTTCAAATATCTCTGTATCACCCTAGAACCTTAAGTAGGATGAGAGGAAGGATTAAAGTGGATAGAACGGAGAAGCTAGATAAGACTGGAGACGCCGTGTTTAATGATTTAGGATCTCCCATCTGAAATTGCCAGGCCGGCGACGACATTTTACCTTCTCCGCCCTGGGAGAAAGCTAGCACTCGGAGCATATACGTCTTACCCGGAGTGAGGTCAGATATAACTGCTTCTAGCTTGTTTCCTATGTATATATAGGTGTCATTTGCCACTGAGATATCCTTATCCGACTCCCACACCCGAACCTTGTATCCTGTCAGAGGTTCCTCCGCTACACTCGGAGAAACATATCTCCAGGTCACAGTTATAGTTGAAGGATTGATTCCATACACTTGAACGGCCGTCGGAGGTTTCTGAGGTCGGAGCTTAAACGTTCTCTCAAGAAACCTTTCACTCTCCGGTCCAGGCCCTGAAACATGTTGAATATTTCTGTCAAATCGGACATTTCTTCCATACTATCTTATTCAACTTTTAAACTTTTAAAATACAAACTTATTGAAGAATAAAATAAATATTTTACCTGCTGAATTGTACGCCATAACTCTGACCCAGTAGTATGTGTTGGGAAGGAGACCAATGATAAGCGCATGAGAGTTTGTGCTCCGGCTCAGAACGTATTGACAATCAATAACCTCATCCAGGTCCTGTCTCCAGTACTTGATCCTGTGTCCGATCAGTTTCCCTCGAATCTTCTCTCTAACCTCAGGGATTGGGGTCCAGGTGATGTTGATTGCTGTTGAGTTGAAAGGTCTAGCTCCGACTGTAGACGGAGCAACCTGAGGCAAGTCCTCAGCAGTCATTACAAAAACTGGATCTGAGATTGGTCCGCTACATTCTGGTTCTCTGCACATATCGTTGAAAACCTGAACCTTAACCTCATAGGTTGTATAGAAATACTGGCGGGGAACTCGGATCACGTACATGGCAATATTTCCTAAAGATTTCAAAGTTTTCTGTTGAAAATCCCTCTCCTTATCCACACCAACCCGTCGGTAGAATATCCGGTAATATAAACCGGGAGCATTCTGGTGTTCCTTCGGTAGCGGATCCCATCGGATCGTTAGATCTCCAGTCCTACCACCATCACTGCGGAGATTCTTGACAGAACTGTACGGTTTATCTGGTCTTGTATTGTACTGAGGAGAAGGTTCGGACCAATCTCCCATCCCATATTCATTGTATCCGGCAACTCGGAATGAGTACGCTGACCACGGAGAAAGAATTTTATCAATTCGAACCTGCTTCCTTCCATCAATCCTAGGTCTTCCACCCTGGTATTCTATCTCTGCTCCCTCAACTCTATCTGCGAGTAAACCCCAGGTTTGGTTGTGATCTGTCCGTCCTTCTATCCTGTAGGCAGTAATCCTAGATCCATAGAATGCTCCGTCCGTCCAGACGATGGTTCCGGATCTGGAGGATAGTTTAACAGCTGTAACTCCTCCAGGGGGACCCGGAGGTGCGTGAACAAAAACCTCAGTTGTTGCAAATATAGTTCCAACCACAGTCTCTACAGCACACTCATAGACTCCTGCCTCTGCTATTGTTATATTATCTATGTTCATGTCTCCGTCCGCTATACCACGGCGAAACTTTTGAAAATCTCCGGTTCCCTTGTTTTTCACTTCAGTTTCTCTCATCCAGGAGGAGGAGAGAAGCTGAGAATGAGACTCTAATGGTTTGAAGGTGATGGGTCGGTTGAATCCTCTATCAATACTCACCCTGCTCCCCCCTGCATTCTTCAACTCTAGGATACGATCGTATTCATAATCTTCTACAAACTCAAGCAGAAACCCGTTCAATCTCCAGTAGTAAGCTCTGTCTAGGATATCATCTGCTTCAGCTCTACACTTGAGACCAACACGCTCTCCCTTAGTGATGATAACACGAGGGGTGGGTTTAATAGCTCCGGCCTGCTTAAAGGATGGGCCTTTTTTAACATAAAGAAACGTCTTACTCCGTGCCGTTCCATACTTGTTGGTGGCTACACATTCATACTGTCCAGAGTCTGCAGTGTTTAGTCCTTTCATGTAAATATTTCCGTTCTTGAACAAGGTTATCTTTCCCCCAGATCCAAGACGGTTTCCGTCTTTGTACCAGGTTATATTAGGTCTCGGGGCTGCCTCCGGATCACAAACGATCGTGACATTTCCTTCTTCTGCAGCGTAGATCTTCTCGTCCAACGGTGTTTTCACAAAAGACGGAGGTATAACCAGAACCTTTAACTGTCCTGAGCTGTATCTGGTATCCAGATCATTTTTAGCCATGCACTGGTACATTCCCTCGTCTCTATCCTTCCTCACTTGTCGGATCTTTAGAACATTGTCTCTTAGTTCATACCGTCCTCGGTCCTCCGGGGCTAACTTGTCCTTCTCTGTTATCAGAGGTTTTCCGTTTCTTAACCAGCCATAGGTTACATCAGGAATACCGAAGGCCTCACAGGTCCAAACTAACTCATCATTCTCGTCCACAAATTGATCATCAATATGGATTGTGAACACAGGACGGGATTGAATACTCAGGGTGATTTTCTCCTTAATTGAAACCTTGTCATTCTTTGCGGTGCAGATGTACTGACCCTGATCTTCTACCCGAACCTTGGGGATAATAAGAACCCTGTTGTAGTTGGTTGTATAGGAACCACGGGGGAGGGGAGAGTTCTCTCTTGTCCAGTTATAATGTGGAACTGGATATCCAAAGGCGATGCATTCAAGTCTTACGTCCTCTCCGGCCATCGGAGCTTCAGGAAATGATTTTGGAAAGTTCTGAGGGAACCTAAGCTGCTGATAGTTCGGATGGGGGAGAACGTCAACGGTGAAAAAGGGACCGTTCCTGCCAATATTGGAAACTGCACTTTGAACATTACAACTGTAGTTTCCTCGATCTATTTTCTCTAGAGCTGTGATGTACATGTATCCGTCATATGAAACCATAACTCTCCGATCCTCTTCAACAAAATTGGGGAAATATTCCCTCGCCCAGTAGTATTTTACATCTGGATAATGGTGCGGGGGATCACAGGAGATAGCTTTACCCCAGTTCTCCCTCCCTACCTCGTTACTTCGTCGCAGGATAAATTCTCCGATAAAACCAAAGGATAAAGAAACAGATTTAGATCTTATTGTACCAAACTCGTTAGTTGCCGTGCAGAAGTATGTTCCCTTGTCTTGGGTCTGATCCGGAGCATGGATAATCAGCTGACCACCACTGATTGTAATCCTGGAGTCAGACAAGGGCTCAACCTTGAGCTCGGTGAGAGTATCATTGATGTAGAGTTCCTTGAACCACTCGTAGGATGCGGGGGGCCAGGCCTGGGCGATACACAGCAAGGATACATCATTCACGATATTTCTCCGGCTCATGTCAAATACGGTTCGGTTGGGTTGTCTCATGAAGACGGGTCCCATCGGGATATATCTGGGATCTCCCAGGGGTTGGCCATACTCCGCGGTTCTGTCGTCGTTGATTAAATATCTGATTTCCTGAAAAATATTTTATAGATTTAGATCTAATTAAATAAACAATTTGTTTTTAACAATGGCCATTTTCAATTCAATTTGTTGACATATTGGAAAACTAGAATTGATTAAACCAACTATTTGAAAATATTTGGGAATTGGATTTCGTTATAATTCTTGAAAACAATCGAAAAAAAGAGATGTGTAAAAGTTATCTCCACTTAAAGAAGGAAATGCCCGATTGACAACGGTACCATTAAAACCTTTAATTTAGAAACCACAATTAAAAATTATAAAAAAAAACATTGTCATCATTTTTGTGCGACAAAGATTTAAAGGATACCGTTGTGAATCGAGCATACCCTTCTTTAAATGGAAGAACGCTTAAAATTACGTCAACAGTTTCTTTTAGCATAAAAGAACATTTATAAAAGTTTTGATTAAAATGAAGAAAAAAAAGAATTTTTTTCGTTAAAAGGTAAAGGTTAATTTATCACAGATTTACAACACTTTGCAGACAGGGCCATCTTTGAAGTGTCGTTGAGTCATTTGCTCTGGGGTTCTCCTTGTCAACTTCATCATACTTTTTAGTAGCCCCAGGGCATGAAAAAAATTGAGTCTTTGACACAAATTGATTTTCTTATCAGGCTTTCCAATCCAATCCAAGGTATACACCATCACGGTGCACAGATATTGGGATCAGAAAGTTTAAGTTTGTGCAAAAGACTCATTCATTTTAAACCTGCAAAGTGCTTGTTTCAAGGTTTAGTTTTAAGAGAGTATTTGGAAAAATCTCACCTCAATCGGGACCTCACAGATATATAGGTATTCCTCTAGTCCGAATACAGGTTGGAATCCCCATTGTCTTCTGTCCAGGGAGAAAGCATAAACCAAGTAATCCTTCTTGTAGTCAGCCTGCAATAACAACAGTACAGTAGAGTACAGTACAACAACAACAATAACAGTATACAGTACAACAACAACAATAACAGTACATGACAACACTACTGTACAATACAACAACAACAACAGTACATGACAACACCAGTATACAGTACAACAACAACAACAACAGTACATGACAACACCAGTATACAGTACAACAACAACAATAGATTGGAAAACTCTTCTAAAGAGTTGATAATGTAATTTCAAGTGACGTCTATTTTAAAAGAGAGGGACATGTCCAATTTACAAAGATACACTTTAAAGATTTTTCTGAACAATAATGTGAAAGCTCAGTAATTGTTTATTTCTGCAATTTTTCTCTATCGTTTCTGCAGCAGAAAAGCGCATGTTACTTTTGTGGAGAAACCGCAATTGAATATACTCCATTTTCAAAGATATAAATGGATATCATCCATTGGTGATTATAGACAATACCACTCTGTATATCTTTACGGCTTGGACACAAAATAAGGGGGAAATAAAATTAATGAAAAAAAAGATTTTTCCGTTTTTTCTCATATTTCGTGTGAGAGTTGAATATTTGCCATTTAAAAAAAGAATTTTCATTAATTCCCATTATCAGGGGGAAGGTAAATATTGCCTTCTTGAAACAAATCTGATAGAAAATGTGAATATTTTTTCTAAAACCGGGAAATGGGAAACCAGGCATAAACCTTTACTTATTTTCTTCGGAACAAATAAGAAACTTTTAAGACCCGAGATCATGAAATTGCGAGTAAAAAAGCGGGATAAAAATTCTCTCTAAATTGAATTAAAAAACCTGTTCCAGTTCTCCCCACTCGTTGGATTTGAGAAAGAACTCTTGAAGGTTCAGCATCTGTGATCCATCTCCTTGGTTGATCCAGGTATTCTGGTTCTCCTGTCTAGTAGAGATATACCATCTCCGGTGCTGAGGATCATTCTTGTTCAAGTAGTTAGTTATAAACCTGGAGTAAACAGATAGTTATAAACCTGGAGTATACAGGTAGTTGGTTATAAACCTGGAGTAAACAGATAGTTATAAACCTGGAGTAATCAGGTAGTTAGTTGTAAATCTGGAGTAAATAGATAATTAGTTATAAATCCGGAGTAAACAGATAATTAGTTATAAATCTGGAGTAAACAGATAATAAGTTATAAACCTGGAGTAAACAGATAATTTGCTATAAACCTAGAGTAAACGGATAGTTATGCACCTGGAGTATACAGGTATTTGGTTATAAACCTGGAGTTAACAGATAAATAGTTATAAACCCGGAGTAAACAGATAATTAGTTATAAACCTGGAATAAACAGGAAGTTAGTTATAAACCTGGAGTAAACAGGTAGTTAGTTATAAACCTACAGTAAACAGATAATTAGTTATAAACCTGGAGTAAACAGATGATTAGTTATAAACCTGGAGTAAACAGATAGTTAGTTATANGTTATGTTCAAGTAGTTAGTTATAAACCTGGAGTAAACAGATAGTTATAAACCTGGAGTATACAGGTAGTTTTTTATAAACCTGGAGTAAACAGATGATTAGTTAAAAACCTGGAGTATACAGGTAGTTGGTTATAAACCTGGAGTAAACAGGGAGTAAACAGATAATTAGTTATAAACCTGGAGTAAACAGATGATTAGTTAAAAACCTGGAGTATACAGGTATTTGGTTATAAACCTGGAGTTGAAAGATAAATAGTTATAACCCCAGAGTAAACAGATAGTTATTTATAAACTTGAAGTAAACAGGAAGTTAGTTATAAACCTGGAGTAAACAGGTAGTTAGTTATTAACCTAGAGTAAACAGATAATTAGTTATAAATCTGGAGTAAACAGATGATTAGTTAAAAACCGGGAGTAAACAGATAACTAGTTATAAACCCGGAGTATACAGGTAGTAGGTTATAAACCTGGAGTAAACAGATAATTAGTTAAAAACCTGGAGTATACAGGTAGTTGGTTATAAACCTGGAGAAAACATATAATTAGTTGTAAACCCGGAGAAAACAGGGATAAGAAATTTAGTGTTTGTAGCGTGTGTTCAGTTTACTTACATTAAAAAATTGAGGCTTTGTAACAAACTCTGATTTTCTAATCCCTGTATCTTTGCAATCCAAACTTTCAATTCTGTTAGATAAAATAATTGAAATTCGAAGTTCAAAATATAAAACGTTTACACCGTCAGGTTGCAAATATATAGGGATTTATTTTGAGTTAGTGGCAAAGATTGAACTTCTTTGACGTGCTAAATATGATTAAATATTAATAATCTGTTTGTAAACTAACCTATGCTCCTCGAAAGTATCTACACTGGCAAGATCCGCTCTGTCCTGATCATTGTGCCTGAATGCTTTGCATAGTTCTCTAGCATCATCCCACTTCTTGGTCGGAGATCTTGTAAACTTGTAACAACTCCCCTCAAACCGCTCCCAGTTCCTCGGACAACGAAGAGTTATCGGATCTCCGCCCGAACCCAGATCATACCTAGTGGTGTCAGTACTGTGGATATCTCCGAGTGGGTTGCCGAACTTGTCAACCTGTTTCCTGATTGACGGTCGCTGATCCTGGCGGGGAGGTTGGAATATATTTGGGTTCTCCGGGGGCGGTTCTTGATCGGGAATTTTTGCAAGGACATTGTTCCTCGGTGGTTTAGGGGTGACGGGAGGGGTCTGAGGGGGGAGGTCAAAATTAGCGAAAGGACTTTCTAGTGGAGGGATTGGTTTAACAGGAGCTAATGCACTAACAACATTGTCTTGGATCGCCTGCTGAAATAACTCCGCAGGACTCAGAGTACTTGAAAACTCCGGAACGGCTCCAAACTCAATCTCCGGTTGCACCTGGGAGTAGGAGAACTGGATACACAGGACAAATATAATCTGATTGATCATGCTTCACAGTTTAGAAAACCTCAATTTTCTAAGATTGTCATTATACAAATTGTTGCATTAATTCTGAAATTTTATATGTTTTAAGATCGAATTCAATCAAAAGAAAATAGCCTGTGTTAAGCTATTAAAATTATTCGTATCAAATTTTTTTACTTTTTACAAGATGTGTTTATATATACATTGATATATATAAATATAAATTAATAACCATACTTTTTGTTTAAATTGGAATTTAAATAAATCACTTTACTACTTTTATTACTTTTAATTAGTTTCCGGATTATATAATTAAATGATAAAATGATATATCTTTTAACGCTATTTTTGAAAATTATCAAAATAAGAATAAATTAATATACTGTTTTATTAAAGAAATTACTCTTAAACCATATTTAATTATCATTTAATTTACATTTAGTTAGATAAATAATTTTAGATTGAAAATATGCGCAAAATCTGTTTTCCATGTGTTTAAAGACACAACAGATAACAAAAACAATAACAAATGTCTGTTTATAATTATAATTTAGCAAATTAATAAAAACAACAACAACAAATTCACTGATAAACACACATGTTGAATACAAATCGGGTTTAAATATTTTGGTTACGAAACCAAAACCATAACTCTGGGTATATACTGCAGCACTGTATCAGGTGGGGCTAAAACCATCCAAATCTGCGCATGCTCAGTAGTAGAGACTTGCACTAATGGATAACGAAATATTTATGGTTTAAACTAATTATTTTTCTTCTTTGATGTTTATAAATGTATTTTTAAATATTTTTACTTTTATAATTATTTTCTTGTTTCACGAATAAAGACTCTAGTTTTGTTTGACGGTTTGTGTAAAACTTGTAATTTTACCTGTATATCAGGCTATATCAGGCAGTGGGCACAGGTAAACNCTGATCTGACAGATTTTCCTTTATGTTCGTAATAGTTAAATATATAGTTTAAAGAATTGTTTGAACCAAAAGTTAGGTTTAAAAATAAAGATAGGTAACGATAGGGGGGGGGGGGTTAGTCTCAAAAGCTCCAACTATAATTATTACATTTTAAAATTTTGAAACACTGTCATAAATTACCAAATGATATTAAAATTTGATACCACGGAGACCATGGAAAAAAAGATAATATTAAATTACACTAACTATTAAAAAAAATAAAGAATTGAATCTAATACAGTTGCAATTCCGGTGTCTCATTGTTTTGTTATTAGATTATATAAAAGATCTATAGTTGAATGGATTTCTGTCAATTTGAACCTTATTTTCTCCTGATAAATGTACATTTCTCGCAATTTCTACATATGTAAGTTTTTGTAAATAAATATAAGAGGGTTAAAAGTTTAAAATAAGTTTACAAAAGAACTGAGTTTTTGTCACAAACTCAAATTGTCTAATCCCTATATCTTTACAATCTGATTATGTAAACCTTTGATATTTCAAACTTAGATTATTTGATCTAACAGAATTCATAGTTGGAAATATGAAAGGTCTACGACATTGGGTAGCAAAGATATAGAGATTAGAAAAGTTGAGTTTGTGACAAAAACTCAGTTCCCTTAATATTAAACTTTTATAAAATAATTGAAAATTCCGGTTAAAATATGACAGAATTTATTCAGATTACCTGATCATAGCGTTTGTATCTACTTTGCTTGTCTGTTTTTGTAGGTCCAATAAACGCCAAAACGGCTTAGCCGATCGGGCCCAAATTTTTTGTTGGACCTCACGTGACCCCAGGGAAGTTTATGGATGATCGAATTTTTAAAAATTTGCCTCTAACAAAATTCGATTTTTGAAAGTTTGAAATCCACAATTTTTTCTTTTTAATCCGCGAAATTTTGTTTTTGTTTTTGTGTTACACTGCATAAAAAGAGAACATATTTACAATTGAAATAGAGGATGGGCGTGAAGATCCCTAAAATCCTAGTATATTGAATTTTTATCTATATATATCATATTATATTATGAGACCAGCATTAAAGGGACTGTAACCGTATTTCCATTGGGTCCGATCCGTGCAAAAAGGTATAAAGCCACAACGGTACCCTTGAAACCTTTATCTGTTCAATAATGTAATAGATATTGTCGTTTTTCTATCAAGTTTCCTGTAGTAGAAATGCGCAATTCACCTTTGGAGGGAAACCACTGCAGTAAATTAGTCAAGATCCATTTTCCAGATTTTAAATATTTTAATGTCATGTTGAAATATCAAAGTTCTAAAACATCGGATTGCAATGATTTAGAGATTTATACACAGATAGAGGTTGTGGAAAGAACTCAGTTACTTTATGACAGAAAAACTTAAATAATCTGTATATTATGGTTCGTAACCCATAACAGAATATACTGATCCTTCTGGCCATGACATTTTTTCTCAAATAAATTATGTTAATATATAATATATCCTGAATTCTGTAATCTGAACTATATGTCTATTTTGTTCCAACAAAACAATCATTAATTAGACGTACTTGTCGCGATAGGATTTTTATCGCAAGTGATTGATCCGTTGATTTAATCGGCAGAAATACTCGTATAACAAAGACGACATTTCAGGTTGTCGAATCGAAAAGGATATTAGAAATAAATTCCAATAATGAAATCTTTCATCAACTTAGTCTTTAAATTGTGTCTTCTACGTGTTTATAGTTACAATAAGTATATCTAATTAGTTATTAATTAGTTAATATATCTAATTAGTTAAAAAGTTATTAAATACATTTTTCAACGAGCAATAATTCGCATATGTTATGATGTTACTGCACTGAAATTGTTGCTTCTGATTTAAATTTGACTCCAAACATTAGATTTTCTATTGAAGAATAAATTTCGGTTTTAAAAAGCGACGATTTTCAAGGATTTATAGAAAGTTTCATCTATTTATTATTTCCCCCTCCCCTCCCCCCAAAATCCAATTGCGCCCCTTCTCTCTCTCTCCCTCTGCAGCTGTTTCTACCGGAAAACGAAATGAAGGAATCCGCCAATCCTACTCCGTACTCACACCACGTGACTAAATCCTCCAATCATAGATCAAGATTAATTTTCAAAAAGATTTGCTCCATCTGCGCCCTTCATTCACTTCAGTAACTGTAACAGTCTTAGTTAAGAACCCAGATATCAAGGATTTGAACTTGAACGTTCGTTGAGCTTCATCATGGTTGGAGTAGGTTCTCCTATACACAAGAGCGCTAGTTTGGCACGTCTTCACTCCCACAGCCCCAGTCAGGCTATGGCGAAAAAACTTGTCAGAAAATACAGTCTTGGCAGTCGTCTTGTGACCCAGAGAAAAGAGTTGACCGCTCTCCGAACCTCGCTGCCGAATGTGAGAGCAGCCTCCGATTTCGAGGTTGTGATGGCCGCGATAAAATATATAGAATCCTTGCAGAATCAAGTCATTTTTCTCAACTCCAGGAGTACAACAACAACAACAACAACAACAACAACATTAACAACACGAAGTGAGAATGAGGACGAGAATTTGGATTTGGACAACATGAAGACCCCGGGAAAAGTGGAGAAAAACAATAATTAGGAGAAGATGAATTTAAACTCTGAACATGTGATAATTGTACCTGAAACCAAAGCTGTAAATACTGTTTAATAGATTTCTTGTAACTATGTTTCAACGAATTTTTCTTACAAAGCTTTTAATGTTTATGACATTTTTATGTTTGTATGTATGTGTAAGTATGTTAGGATAATGTGTATGATTGGACAATGTGGATATATGTCAGGATAATGTGTATGTAAGGATAATATTTACGTATGTCAGGATAATAGGTATGTATGTCAGGAAAATGTGTATGTATGTATGTCAGGATAATATTTATGTATGTCAGGATATTGTGTATGTGTGCATGTCAGGATAATGTGTATGTTTGTCAGGATAATGTGTATGATTGTCAGGATAATGTGCATGTATGTCAGGATAATGTGTATATATATCAGGATAATGTGTAAATATATCAGGATAATGTGTATGTATGTTAGGATAATGTGTATATATATCAGGATAATGTGTGTATTTATATAAGTAAAAATGTATGTTAAGATAATGAGTATATATATCTCTGGATAATGTCTATGTATATTAGGATAATGTGTGTATATATATATATATGGATAATCTATATGTATATATATAAGTAAATATATGTATGTCAGTATAATGACGGGTCTAAGAGTAATTTGGCTTTTATTGTTAATAGTTCTATCCTTTACAATTATATCAAAACATTAAATTACATTAGGATCAAACACTTCTGTGCACTTTTATACATTATGTAGATAATAGAAAATATATTACATAACCACGTCAGACAGGAACAGTTCATCTTCATGGTAAAGGGTTATTTATGTTACGTTGTAAAATTATGTAAGTAAGAAAGGAAAGAAAGGGAATCCCCTTATTGAAACCCAGCTTCGCCTGGAAACTAAAAACTTTCGCTATAAAAGTCTTACTCAACTTAGAACATTACAGTGTTTCTTTTCTACTCAGTTATCCACTCAAATTTTGAGGCAAAACGTCAAGGGGTTCATGCAGAGGCGTATTCAGGGGGTGCTATGGGGGCTGAGCCCCCCCCCCCTG